TCACACTTTTGCTGTTTACTTAAGCGTAAGTCAACTTTATGAATGCTCAGCGCTCAGGCAGCAGTGCAGCCACTAAGGCAAATACCAAAAGTACTTACACACACACACACACACACACATGGAGTACACAGCAGCAGCAGCAGCAGCAGCAGCAGCTGCACGTAGCCAAGTCAGAAAATTGCAATAATTTTTGGGTAAAATTCGTCCTCGGGAAACGCAACCAAAAGACAATTTTGACATTTTCACACTTTATTGCTGCAGTGAGCGGCATGGGGTGGGCAGGGGGCGTGGCAGCAGCAGCAGCAATATCAAAAGGAGGTAGTAGGTGTAGAGATTAAGGCAAGACATAACTGCATTGCTAATGCTTGCGCAATATGTATTGCGCAATATTGGAATGTGACTATCAAAGCTTTTCACATGAATGATTTGACTTTCAAGAGAGAGAGAGAGAGAGAGCACATATGAAATAATAGCATTAGCACAAGAAAGAATTGGATCAATTAGAACTTACTTAAGTCTTGGAAGTTGATTGAGCAAGCGCTGCAGTAAGAGCAGCTCAAGATAAGCCAACACAACGAGAGGTTATATCACGAATCAAGCTGTTCAACACCAAAGATGTGTGCCCGACTTGCATATACCCTGCCCAACTGCCCCTGTCCCTGTGCACATAGCACGCCACATATATCTACGTATTAAACTCATGTTTGCGGCATTTGTCTCGCTTATAGATCCACTTAACTCTTGTGCTTCCATCAAACTAATCCATCATGCCTCTGGGGACGCAGGGTATTGAAAGCCTTTAAGCAAATGCTGCAAAACTCTAACAGCACGGCTCAAGCAATTCATATTTCGACACACATATGTACGTGTGTGTAAGTGTGTGTGTGTGTGAACACCTGCTTACGCACGTAAGCAAACACGTGCACACGAACCTTCAGCTAATCAAATCGACTAACAAAAATTGATGTTATTGTTCGAATTGCGGATAAAAGTGCTCAGAATTGAGTTCTTGGAGCTGTTTCCTAACACAGCCGAGCGGGGGTCAGCAAAGGGGAAATTATTATGGCTCTTAAGGCTCTAATTTTATATATGCAATAGCAGCTGGCATTACTTGCCTGTCTTTCACTGAAGCTATCCCGGTAAAACGTGCATTTATACATTTCTATTTACCTCAGACCCCATCTAGATTAGAGTCATTCATAGAGAACCAGCGACAGCAGACAATGGCCATAAAATATATTTTGAATGAAAAGTATGCTAACAAAATTTGATGCCGAGAGAGAGAGAGAGAGAGAGAGGGAGAGCAGTTTGAGTGCACATGGCTGGGCAGGTGAAGCATCTATCAACTATCACTCAATAATGGCCGCACCCACACACACCTTTGCTCTGTCAGCGCTTTGGCAAACACGTGATCGATCTTTCGACAGATGCACGAGAAATGCCAACGACTCGGCTGGGTATTGTGCATAGAGATTGGTTAAGTACGAGCTGTGGGCTCTGTCTGCATGCGGCGAACACAAAACTTGCCCACGTCTAGGCCAAATAGTGATAGATGGTATGGGGCGCCACGCGATGGGCGGCGAGAGTGGGGCAACACACGCTCAGGTGTCTTTTAGCCCAAGTTTTCCGTGCCAAAGTTTGCACTGAGCAAACATCAAATGCTGCGCCCAGCCTTTGTCTCGCCCCACGCTGTGCGAGAGCGAGAGATAGGGAGCTGGAAATTGAATATGCTAGCTTATTTTATGTGTTTTTCTTTTTTGCATACCCTGTAAACTGGTCGAGCTGGGCACCTATAGCACCTGCAACTTGGGCTCTAAAGTATTCAGCCTATAAAACTAACTTCTGCGTGTCTAGAGCTATTGCTTGGTAGCTTTAGTCGCGCTTAGACAGCTTTTTTTGGCAGCTTTCAAACACTAACTGTAATAATAAGTGATCTTTAGGCCCTGTTCAATATAAACAGGATATCTGTTAGCTGGGCCAAATTCATGGATTAGCTGTTATTGTACTACATATGTAGCACTTGGGCCGCTTTTCATGTTGTCTGTTGGCTGGTTTGTTTGTTTGCCTGTTTGTTTGTTTGAGTTGCTGTTAGAATTATTTTTTCCACTAGCGCAAAGCCGCGCCGCACACACACACACACGCGTGACAGCTGTTGGCTGCACATGTGACGTTCGTCCTGGTGTGTCCTTGTTTGCAAATACATATGAAAAACAAACAAGCATAGATTTAATGCAGCTCAGTTCCCTCTCTCTCTCCCTCTCTCTCTCTGTCTCTATCTCGTAGCCGGCGTTCTCCTTCTGAACATCCTTTGAACAATTTTTGACAATCGCAGCGCATCCTTCCTTCCTTAAGCTGTGTGTGTGTGTGTACTTTGAATGGGGTCTGTGACCTGACTGCCTGCATGCGCCTTTAAGATTTCAAATATTAGCTCCACACGCGCCTCGCTGAGTTCTGATTTCATAATGGAATTCTGTTTTGCAACTGCCTTAGCTAACATTTTTATCATTTCAGCCATTCCATACAACAAAATGAGATGAGATGTTGTTGACATATGTTTAAGCATAGTTTGCATATGGCTAAAACAAATTCCTGTTCAGCCTTAATTCACAAAATCTGCAGCTTTTGTTGCTATTTAAAGTCACACTATTGAGCTACTTATGATACCTGCCTGTGACCATATTTATGCTGGCCCGCCTAAGCCAGTCGGTGCTTTGATCAGTCAATCAATCAGCTCAATCAAAAATGCATTGATTTTGTTTTAGCAATTCACTCAAGTGCTCAAGAGCTTAAACAGTGTGCGCAGAAATTGAGTAAATCAATCAGTCAATCAATCAATCAGCCCAAACAACTGACTTTAGTATTTAAGTTCTCAATATTTAGCTTAATCAATTAGTTTAGAGCATGAGTCACTCAGTCAATCAATCAACCAATCAATCCAGCCCTCTTAAACATATACCTCATCACAGCCTCATCTCCCATTTATCCTGTTGTTTCTCGCTTGACCGCTTACGCTTTGATCTGTCAATCAATCAATCGCACTTTCAATCAAACAGCTCAGTCCTATATGAGCTTAAGTCAGTTCACCAATTTCATTTAGCTCAAGTAGTTTAGCATAAGTCAATCAGTCAATCAGTCAATCAATCAATCAATCAGTCAATCAATCAATCATACCAAGAAATACCTCAACTCAGCCACTCCCGCATTCATCATGTGTTTCTTTCGTCCCAGTCAGTTTGATCAGTCAGTCAAGCAGTCAATCTACCAGTCAATCGGCTCAATCAAATACTCACCTTTAAAGTACACTTGAGTTTAAAATCAATCAGACTATCAGTTTAGCGGCTCAATACATGTACACATTAGTATTTGTCGAGCACAGATGTAAATTGAAGTCTGATATTTGATTTGTTTTGCAAGACACCTTGAGGGGGCTACACAGATATATATATATATATATATATATATATATATATATATATATATATATATGAAGTACTGCCAACTTGTCTTATGCATGCATACAGTGCTGTCAAATGTCAGCTGGCACATGACTTTCTCCTGCAGCCAGCCAGCCACATCGAACTCTCTGTGCTCTGGCTCGTCTGCAGGTCGTTTAAAGTTTACATGTCGTTGTCGACGCCCAGGACATGGACACGGATCTCGACATACCACACACAGACACAGACACACACACACACGCACAGTCGTGCGCACACTTTCCTGGCATTTGGTTTGACTGATATATAAAGTTGGCAGCTTCAGCTCCAGCTCCAGCTGAGGTGGGTGCTGAATGATATAAACTTAATTGCGGAAATTGGGTTAAAAAACTTTGACACATGTGCGGGTTAAACAAATTTATACTTCTATATGCGACTTCACATATATACATATGTATATATATATGTGTGTGTGTGTATATATACATATGGATATCCATGTGTGTGCGATGGCGTTCATTGACTTTACTTAAGCCAGCATTTCGCAGCACTATAACGGGCGCATGGCGAAAGTTTTTATGCCACGCGTCGCACGGCCCCGCCACGCCACGCCCCTTTCGTCAGCAGCAATACCTAACGGCAAGAAGCGCCCTTGAAGCATTCATGCTCCCCTCGTTTTGTGCCCGTTGTAATGCAATTTTATTTCATTTCATTGAAGGCAAAGTTTTCTCTTCGAATTCTTTTACTTTACTTTGCTTTCCACTCTCTCTACGTGTGTGTGTGTGTGTGTGTGTGTGGTTGAACATTTTTTTACTACTCTTCTTCTTTTCTGCCTTTTTTCCCTGCTTCTTTCTTTTGTAATACCCGTCTCCACGCTCGACGTCCGCGTGGGCTTCTGTCTTTTATGCTTGGCTCGCTGCTGGTTGGGCACACGACAAATTTGGCTTAAATCGCATACGCCTAACCAAACACCTAACCTAAAGGCTGCGCCCCACCCGTCCCCAACGACAATATATGCAAATCTTTGATGTAAGTAATAATTTCCTTCCCCTATGCTGCGAAAACTTTCGTATTGTAAATTATGAGCATGCGAATATTGCTTTCAGCATTGGAAACTGAAAACTGAAAACTGAAAACTGAAAACAGAAAAGAGAAAACTCTCGACTCGACTCTGATTTTATCCTGGCTATGCGTATGTAAGCTAACAGATGGCCAACATGAAGTTGGAAGAGTAAGTCGAGGGGGAAGAGTTCATATATCTAAGCTAGACATAAATTATAGAACAATAAACGTGTCACAGCACTTTGTTAAGTCCTCGAGTAGTATTTCCTTTTCATTCGACTTACATTTTTTCATATGCCAAAACTGTTTAATCTATTGTAATCGTAGTGCTTACAGTTTTGTTTCATTTTAAAACTTGGAGTATTGCCATAGCTGCTGAGCAGGATATTTCTGACATGTGCCTAGCACATATGATGATGATGTGATGATAGATCCTAGACTCAGCTCAGTTCAAATTGAAATGGAACCTAAGTAACCTAGGAGTCAAGCGCGCCCAGTTTGCTGACAGATAGCACAGTTCAGTCTGTTCGATTAATATTCTAAAGCAATTCGATGCACATCAACAATCAGTTTTGTTTATTTAGTAATTGATTCAGAGCGAAAACTACCTGCACGAGAGGACTAGAGATTGAGTGATGGCCAGCATCACATTCAAGGGCCGTCCCACTATTGTACTGCGCACCTATCAGGTGCTACGCATTGGCAACAATGTCCTTGACAGCGAGTTGGACTTTTGCCTAGACGATAAGGTAACAATTTAAATTGCGTATTTGTTTAAGCCAGCTAAGCTGGACTCTACTCTTCTCTGCAATATGGCCAACGGCAGACTGTGGCCAAGCTGCACGCAACACTGACGCGAAGCGAGCGGGGCTTGTTCCTGGTCAACGAGAGTCGCAACGGAACTGTCAGTGTGAATGGACAGCGTTTTAGCGGCCCCGTTTTGATCACCTATCGCGACGCAATCAATGGCATTGTCAAGTTGAGCTTCGGACGCAGCGAGGCCTTCCTACGCGTTTCCGGCAGCCTTGGCGGCTAAGCTTGGGGGTCGACCCCAAGGCTTACTTTGGACGAACACTTGTAATTTCAATGTTCTTCAAGTTAAAATTTATGTTTTACTGTGTATTAAATGTATGTTTCACGAATTACATGTACTCATATACTTGTTACCCCCATTGCCTTTGCATTCCGCCTTGAGTTTTCGATATAAATAAACTTCCCGTAGGCAGGGACAGAAGTGTTACGAGGTTCCTAAACAGCCAAGGCCTATACTTCAAGCTTCCACAGCTAAGTTAAAAGTGGGTTGATTTTTCTAATCAAAACTATAATATATGGCACCGTCTTATGATTTTACACACCTTTAAAAGTTTTATCCAATTAAAAATTTGTGTAAAATGTTTCAATTTAATCTGAAAGCTTTGTGAAATCTTAACTAAAATTCAATCCACATCTAAAATATTCTCAAATCAATCATCAATCAATCAGCAATCTGCAATCATCAATTATTAATCAGCAATTATCAAACATCAATCAGTCATCATCGACCATCAATCATCAACTGCCAATCATTAATCATTAATCATCTGTCATTAATCATTACTCATTAATCAATCATCAATCAAAAGCCATCAAACATCAATCATCAGTCACCAATTAGCAATCAGTTATAATCATAACCATCAATCATTAGTCATTAATCATCAGTTAACAATCAACCATCATCGACCATCAATCATCAATTGCCAATCATTAATCATTGATCAATCGCGATCAGTCGTTCGACCTGTAAAGACGTGAATTCGAACAGCCTTCGCTTAAGCTCTACTGCTGCAGAGTTCTAAAAATAGAACTTTGCGGTGCATTCTTCAACGCAACAGCAACAAAAACCGCACACGCAGCGTTTTCTTATCGCTTGCTTCCGCGTAACTCAATTGCTTTAATTGCAATTTACGAAATTTCGTCGCTTGGCGCGAGTGCGCCTGCACTCAAAAGCACAATCCGCGATGACATCTAATGTCAATAACCTCGCTACAGCTGTAAAGGTAAATGCAGAAATGCAAGCCCAGCTTAACGTTGTGATGGCAAATAGGCAAGCCTCCATCATGCCAATAAACTCAAAAATAGATATCGCCTCCGTGCAAGGCATCACTAACAACAAAAACACGAAACGTAAACAGCCAAATTCACCAAAAACCATCAAGAAAAGGCTCATCTTCGACGAACCAAGCACCAGCAATGCAGCATTAATATCAGAAAATCGATTTTCACTGCTCGTAGAAGAAGATGAAGACTACAGCGAATCACCTGTAGCTCCAGAAGCCCCAGTATTGACCGACCAGCAAACTACTCCGAAACCTCGTCCGCCCCCCATATGGTGTCCAAACATCAAGTCTGTGGCCCTACTTCAACAGATAATAGATAAAGTAATTGATGCTAAATCATACGTAATTAAGCCAAAGAAGAATAACATAGGTGTATTAACCCAATGCAGTGAGGACTATCGCAGAGTTATAGACCACTTTACTAAGCTGGAATTGGAGTTCCACTGCTACCAGCTTAAGGAGGACAAACCATATAGAGTCGTGTTCAAAGGGCTTCACTCCAGCACTGATACAACACTAATTAAAAAGGAATTGGAAACCAAAGGCCACACAATTACAAATGTGCACAACCCACTGAGCCGTATGGACAAAACACCGCTAAATATATTTTTTGTTGACGTGGCTCAGGCCCCCAACAACAAAGAAATTTTGGACATTCGAGTTGTCTGCAGGCAACGCTGCACAGTGGAACTGCCAAGAAGATACAACGACCTGACACAATGCCATCGCTGTCAAGAATTTGGACACACACAACGCTACTGCCACAAAGCTCCCAGATGTGTGCGTTGCGCCGGGAAACACGCATCCAAAGACTGCACCCGCGAAAAGGACCAGGCACCAACTTGTGTGCACTGTGAGTTACAGCACCCAGCCAACTATAAGGGCTGCCAAGTATACAAGCGGTTGCGCAAATTGCAATCCCCAGCACAAAAAAGGAGTCCCACACAAACACCGTCTACGGGTCCGAGTACTGCTTCCGAAATTACAAGGCCCCGGAGCATTACCCAAGCCACGAGCTTTGCAACGCCTATTAGTGGTGTTTCTTACGCACAGGCCGCTAGAGGTGGACCGTCAAATAAGAATACCACAAGTGACACTTTGTTCACTGAAATGCTTCAGCAACAACAACGTCAGTTTGACGCAATTAATGCCGAGCTCAAAGCGATGCGAGAAGTACAATCCCAACAAGCAACCATGCTAAACAGTTTAATGGCCATCATAACCAAGCTTGCCTACAAATAATGGCTTTACGTGTGGGTATCTGGAACGCCAATGGCCTGAGAAACAAGACTCAGGAACTGGCTGCGTTTCTCTCACAAGAAAACATAGATATAATGTTAATAACAGAAACTCATGAGTGCCCCACTACACAAATTTTCGGATACGAACACTATCAGGCTCATGGTGAAGGAGCAAACTGCTTTGGTGGATCCTCAATCCTCATACGAGCAACAATACCGCATACACCTTTACTGCCAATTTGCAACGCAACAATGCAGGTCTCAGCCATCACCCTGCCTACGTCTATTGGAGCGATCGAAGTTGCGTCAATTTATCTTCCGCCAAACACTGGTCTGTGTGATCATCACATGGAACAGGTTCTAGGCCAAAGGTTGAATAAGACCCTCATCGGCGGCGACTGGAATGGATGGCACCCATTTTGGGGAAGCAATAGTGCGAATCGTCGCGGAGAAGTCATATTTGAGGCGATTCAAAACTTACAATTCAGCATATTGGCGACTGGAGCCCCCACCCGTTACCCAATTAATGGACACAGGCCCTCGGCAATCGACTTCGCTGTCTACAAAGGCATCTGTGACCGGCAATTGACCATTGAAGAATCCTTGGACCTATCCTCTGACCACCTGCCACTAATAGTCACAATCCACGCGCAGCCACAGCCCTTGCCCATTAGGAAACAACTACTGCCAGCAGGATCAGATTTAGGAGTCTTTAGGCGCGAGCTCCATTACTCTTTGCACATAGAAATGGAACTTAACACTCCTGAAGACGTGGACTACGCAGCAAACAAACTGCAGGAAGAAATAGTCAAAGCTGCGCACCAAGCCGCCCCACCATCTTGCCAAACAAGACAACAGTCTCCGTACAACATCCCCCTCACCTTGGAGGCCCAACACCTACTAATACACAAAAGATGGGCCAGGAGACGCTGGTTAAGATTACGCACGCCTGATGCCAAATCCATGTACAACGAAGCCACGAGGCATCTTAAAGCTGCTCTCGCCCTGCTTCAAAAGAGGTGTATCAGCGATGCGCTGGTACGAGCTGAATCGCCCACTGACGCAGAGTTTCAATTATGGAAATTTACAAGAAAGCTCAAACGGCAGCCAATACGACGTCATCCCATTCGGAGCATTTCTGGTTCCTGGCACATTGGAGACGAAGCTCAAGCTGAGGCTTTTGCAAACCACCTTCAAGACCAATTCACGCCGGTGATTACCGCAGAGGCCTCAGAAATCGAAGCAACAGAAGACATCGTTCTCTCGCCCCTCCCAGCTGAAGACCAGATAACTGGATGTACAAAAGAAGAGGTTCTTGAACACATCAGAAGAGTGAAGGCAAAAAAATCCCCTGGATATGATCTAATAAACGGCAGAGTCCTTAGAGCACTGCCTGACTCCACCATAGACTACATAACTATGGTGTACAACGCCATGCTCCGCATCCGGCACTTTCCAGCCTGCTGGAAGCGCGCCGTGATTGTGATGATTCCTAAGCCTGGCAAACCCGTGGGAGAAATTGAGTCGTACAGACCAATTAGCCTGTTGCCAGTACTCTCCAAAATATTCGAAAGAATATTTCTGGAACGAGTACTGACACATCTGGGACGCCAGGAGGCCATTCCAAACCATCAGTTTGGCTTCAGGAGACAGCATGGAACACCGGAACAGGTTCACAGAGTTGTGCACCATATCCTTGGAGCCTTTGAAGAAAAGATGTACTGCTCTGCCGTCTTTTTAGACATCAAACAGGCGTTTGATCGAGTTTGGCACCTGGGACTGCTGCAGAAAGTGAGGACCACCCTTCCAGCCCCATTTTTCGCGTTGCTATCCTCATACCTTATTGGAAGAACCTTCCAAGTGTCAAGGGGGCAAACAGTATCCTTGACTAGACCAATTATGGCTGGAGTACCACAGGGTAGTGTTCTAGGCCCAACACTTTATACTTTATTCACAGGAGATATGCCAACTCCCGAGCCAAATATAGGAAGTACAGATGCAGTACTCATAGCGACCTATGCAGATGACACCGCCATCTTATCACGTCACGTATCTGCGCAAGAAGCTTCAGACTCACTACAAAAATATCTGGACTCTTTCGGACGCTGGGCAAAACGGTGGTGTATCACCATTAATGCACAAAAGTCTGTACATACTACCTTCGCCACTAGAAGAGGAGATTGCCCAAGCGTTGCATTGGGGCCCACTATTCCCAAAGCCTCAAAAGTAAAGTACCTTGGTATCACTCTTGACAGAAGGCTGACTTTTAAAGCGCACATAAGTCAAGTAACCTCAAAATGCAAAAGCAAGCTAAAAACCCTCGACTGGATGCTGAGAGCTTCAAGCAAGTTGTCTTACAGCAGCAAGGCCGCCATCTACAAGGCAATAGTTGTCCCAACCTTCGTATATGGTATCTCTCTATGGGGCTCCTCGGCGAAGACTACAAGGAACAAAATTCAGACCCTGCAGAATAAAGCACTACGCAGATGGACTGGAGCCAGCTGGTTTGTAAGAAACTCAGTCTTACATAGGGATTTAGCAATTCCCACAGTTGCTGAACTCATTGGGCGACACAGTTCAAGATACGCGGACAGACTTGCAGCGCATCCTAACCATCTCGCAAGCAACCTGGCTATAAACAACAATAGGCGAAGACTGAAGAGATTGCATCCTCTAGACAATATTAGAACTAATTAAGATAGTAGCTACAAGTGCAGAATAATTGGCATATCTGCCCTCCCATTAGTTAAGGTTTAGAGCTAAATGCGCTATAGAGTCTAAGACAATAAGCTGCAACAAAATAAAGAAATAAAAACGAAAAA